CCCCCCCCCCCCCCCCCCCTCCACACACACACACACTGTGACACACAATTCAACATCATTTTAACATATAACAATACTGTATTGTATATACTGCATGCGTAATCCATTATATGTTTTCACATATTAAAAATTTAGAAAATAGAGATACATCTGATAACAATGGGAAACGAATCATTATAATAGGCATTAAGTGGCTGTATATGTAATTCTGACACACACTTTTACGCACGCTACAAATTATAAGGTTTCAACAGTTTTGAGCTTTTATCTTCAGATCTCACGTGTATATCGGTGTTTTAAAGTTGCGAATTTAACACAATTTGTTATGAAGACAAGGCATGTGATAAAACAACCGACAAATATGAACTATTAGCGTTTTCTGGGGGGACGAGTTCGTAATCACTTCCCTGTTGATTTGATCCATTATGACTATACCCTTCAAAACTTCGACTGAAGTTAATATGTTAAGTGAGGCACTTGCCTCTTCGTTCAGGTCTTTTTCTAGCTCTCTCTCAGGGAGGCAGAGTTATCAGTGGGGACTTTTCCACCAATATCAGTAGCAAGGCATACGGCATCATTTGGCACAGTAGAAAACGAAGACTTGTCGCCTCTGTATTAGATTTATTTTTCAGAACTCTCGGAGAAAGTTTCTATAGTGCTTTCCTCACCCTGTAACGAGGCAACGCCATTCCCCTCCTCATCGGTAATGTTATGTGCGATGTTTGAGATAACATGCGTCTCAACAGACACAGTGTTACGTGGTTGCGTTTCCCCTGATGGTTCTGCTGTCGCTTCCGTTGGTGGTTGTGTTGGTGATTGTGCTGGGTGTTCTGTTGACGGTCCTGTTGGTAGTTCAGCTGGTCCTGTTGATGGTCCTGTTGGTACTTCAGCTGGTCCTGTTGATGGTCCTGTTGGTAGTTCTGGTGGTGTTTCTGTTAGCAGTTCTGTTGGCAGTTCTGTTGATGGTCCTGTTGGTAGTTCTGGTGGCAATTCTGTTGGCAGTTCTGTTAATGGTCCTGTTGGCGGTTGTGTCGGTGGTTGTGTTGGCTGTTCTGTTGGTTGTTCTGTTGATGGTCCTGTTGGTGGTTGTGTTGGCGGTTCTGTTGGTTGTTCTGTAGGCGGTTCTGTTGGTGGACCTGTTGGTGGTTGTGTTGGCGGTTCTGTTGGTTGTTCTGTAGGCGGTTCTGTTGGCGGTTCTGTTGGTTGTTCTGTAGGCGGTTCTGTTGGCGGTACTGTTGGTGGGCCTGTCGGTGGTGCTGATGGCGGTGGTGGTGAAGGCGGTGCAGGAGTGCCAGCCATAACATAGGGACCCGCACTGACCATAACCTGCCCAGCGATAACTCCAGATGACCCGCTCACACCAGGGACATCGTGCGCAGAGTATCCAGCCACTTTGGCTGTGTTTTGAGCATAGACGGCGGCATACCCAGACACCGGGGCCGCGTTAAGTTGAGGGCTGGCTGAATTGACCGCGGAAGCAGAGGCTATCGGAATGTTGTCAAACTCTAGAAACTGTGACGTCCTCTTAGCCAAATATACCCTACGTGGTTATAAAAACAACAGATAATAATTTTGGGAATCTTGGATTTATATATTTCTTTAGAAAAGCAAGTGAAAAACAGAAATTTATAATCAAAGAAGAATAAACGATAACATTTTGGAATATCAACTTCAGCACCAACGTACACATTCCCAAAACTTTCTACAAATACTGATTATTGTACTATTGTCACTTAAAAACAACTCTGATGCTTTGCATCAACAGGGCAATTGTAATAATGATTTTTACACAAAGGTAAATAAGTATTTATTCAAACATAAAATGAATAAAGATGTCACACAATAAAACTTGTACAAAAATGTTTAACGCCATAACTAATAGATTTTTGTATCTTCTAACAGATTGTAAAACGAAAAAAACACGACTTTAAAGCGGGAAAATATAGTACAGTACCCACCGTATAGTATCCAGCCACGTCTCCTCACCATGGAGATAAGTGACGTCCTCTCGGGTGGCCCCCGCCTGCTCCTCTGACGTCAGAGCTTGAACTGGGAACGTTTCGACACTCATCACTTCTCGGTCGTGGGCTGGAGCGAAATAAAAAAGAGATAACAGAGAGAAGAAGTACAATTTATGAGATAACAGAGACTCAACGCACAGTTTACAAGACCTAAAATTCGCACTGCAGTTAAGAACTTCTGTTCAAACGCAGAAAGCACGCTTACGAGCGAAGCTTAGACTTAGTAAGAACAAGTTACAGCTCACCTGATTTATCCATCCACTGTTGCAATCTGTCCAAAACCGAAGTAAAGTTTTTGAATGTCATGGAAAATTGCCCGTTGCCTAGCGGCAATATGGACACCTTTGAAGGAGAAAAAATGGCGCATGACAAGCGTTCAGGTGCTGCAGTGGGCGTGTCGTTACCTGGAGTGAAGGAGTAGGCGATCCGAGTAACGTACTGATAAGAGCGCCTTGAACGCTTATCAGGGAGATACATGTACTTTAAGGGACGCTTTTGAAAACAGGCGCTCGGACTTCTACCTGAAATATCAATATAGTTATTCTGGTTAGTTAGTCATCATAGATTTCTTAGACACGTACTTAAAAAACTATAAGCCACTGATTTGCTTTATAAAGTTGAAGAGTGACGTTCCCTTCGGAACAATAATTTAGATATATTAACAATTATCTTAATATCATGGATTGTGGGGAAGCTCTGACTCTGAACCTAAGTTATTTCATTTCACTTGGCTATATGTAATTCCCCATATATCAATATCATATGATTTTGCAAAACATATCTGTTTCGACAAGGAAAAATATTCATTATTTGTCAAAATTACATGTCTAAAATAAATTTGTGTACCCGACTTACAAACTGTATGCAAGATATTAGGTATTTTTAAACACACTTCTAGTTCTGCATTTCTCGTGCTACTGTTGTTCGGGTCAGTTTGTCTTTGGGATCCCAACTTTTAGGCTGCACAAATAAAACCATAACCACACCAACCTGAGAGAATTTTTACTGTCTGTATATTGAGGACGTGGACATTCTGTTGGCCTAACCAGGAAGAGATGTGGTGCATTGCTTCGCTGGGTGACGAAAACCCTAGGGCAGACGGTATAAAATCTCGTAGGCCTGGAAATAGAGCATTTCCATTTTCAATATAGTATTATGCCGCAGAAATTGTCTCTGTAATTTTTGCTTGATTTAATTTAGTTTGACTTGTTAACATGCAGAGAAAAGTTTAACATAGTTTTCAATATATTTGCATTATGAAGAAGGTCAACAACCTGCGTAGTCATCGTGGTTCAATTTTTGTGAAAAAGGTTTCAGCTTGTGGTACTGGTAGCCAACCTAGGGCGGCATATATACAATTTTGTTTAAACTGTGTTTATCCTTTTACGGAATTTAAAATAAATACTCACCTAGCCGCATTTCCTCTCTAGGCCCATCTCCCTTATGAGCAAAGTAAAACAACCTAAGGATGAAGGCAGAAGGCTTATTTGGCTTGAATATCAAGGCTGTGGAGTCATTGCGAGTTATAAAGCGTTCCGGTTGATCTGCCGGGGTGTACATTGTGATGTGCAGAGGGGTATTCACAGTCTCAACTGTCACAACGGGGTCTGGGGACGGAACATGTGTAAGTAATATGTTATTGTCCTTGATACATGTAACAGCACAAACATACATAATACATCACAATGACTGATAACATACTGTTATGCACCAAAGACATTATCTTGGCACTTCATTGTTAAAACTTCCCCTAAATGAAATGAGAATGACGGATTATGGTGATATCAAAATTAATGGAAAAGCATACTGCCCTCAAATGCACAAAAGATTGATAAAATTATAAAAACCGACAACGTTTTATCAAATACCTAATACCGGGGAATGCGCTGATGCGCATAAAGTCACTTAAATGGATAAGTAAACAAGGAACCAATTATATGACAGCACCATTTAAAATTAAAGGGTGTATCGACATTCTAAGTGGTTCACTTTTAAAGCATGCTATTCTGGGAAGTCTGATCGATCACCTATCAAGTCTGATACGAGCTGTAGAATATATTTTGGGTGAACTAGCAAAGAAGGGGTGGAGACACTGTTGAATTGGAAAAGTCATATATGTACTGGTGTTTCGATTCAATATCTGGCAATGAATGATCAAAATTAAGCCACTGTTCAAATCAAAATCACACCATGCGCTGTACACTTACTCTTGGTCCTAGCCAGCCACTCATTGGCAGCTTGGATCAATTCTCCAAGCGTTACGTCACCGTGATTGGGAACGAAGTCACGTATAAGAAGAGTAGGCGGGGTAGAAGGTTTTGGCGATGACGGCGGGAGTTTTCTATACCATAACCTGAAAATGACGTCAAGACTAATATAATCATCGGTGCGTACATAATATTATAGTCATTTCTGACGAAAAAGAGAGATCAAAGGTGGTAAATTTGTCTACCAGCTAGAAGCAGACTAATTCCCAAAAATTTGTTGGCAAAGAACGTGAAGCTCGTACTTCAAGTAATTTACAAAAACAAAAAATGTGTGTCACGAACTACCTCAAAGCATTTGCACCAAAACCGGTTTCAAACTATCATAAATGAACCTTAAATAAAATTCGATTCTCAATCTTATCAAGTGACTTCCGCTTTAATCTTCAATTGAAAAAAATCCGTACACACCGTAAATGTCTCACAATTACACCTATTGGTCCTTTCTTGGATAGTGGCTCCATCCAGAGTGCGCTGTCAGTTCCAGCACTAGGGGTGTCAGCTCTGACAATCTTTGTCACCGTTTCACACTTGATTAAGTAAATATCATTTCGACTTGCCAACCAAGAAGATGCTCGGCTTACTAATACCCTTAAAAGAAAAGATATAGTCAATAATTCCGAAAGAGAATAAATAAAATTCATCATTTTCTAACGGTTAACTTACTGGCTACAATCTAAAAATGCGCCATATGAGTCTGATGCTTGTATGCACAACTCTTTACATAAAAGAAATAAACTTGGCATCAAGGGCAATTCTTCTGAAAAAAAATGGATCTTTAACTCCCTTATTTGATCCAACTTGATGACATATTGCCCAGATCAAATTTTGATTCAGAAAGGAATTTTCTTATCCAAAGACTGTCCTTTCGCATCCCCGCACCCCCTTACACACACCACCCCCACACCAACTCCCAGCCCAACTACGGGTTTGCCAGTACTTACGCCATGTCATCACCTGTGACAGATGACCCAAACAAAGACTGTCTCGCACTCCACGTTGGAGCGAAGTCGCGGCACAAAATTTGCTGGGCTGCATGAGGCTGATCGCTGAGGGCGGCCGCCGGGGACATCACCTCCTCGTAACTGGGTGGGGCGCCAGGGGGTCCCCTGCTAGACGCCATGTCTGGGTTCACGTGCTCCATGGTCTAGGTGGGGCATTCGAACACTTGTTGTGCCTAGAGTGGAGAATAACTGCCGATAACAGGTCAAAACAATCACATGTAAATGAAATGATATGCCATACCACATGAGATTTCTAGTGGTCTGCTGGGATTTCAGCTGGCTGTCGACGGTTCGTTTAAGACTGGCTTGTAAACGAGTTGAATAATTCTCTGTATTAATTTTATTCATAGGTGGAGAAGAATTTTGTATAATTCAGACTGTTTAAGAGAACGAGCCGCAAGCATCCATAAAAAGCCACAATGTTATTTGGAAATTCGGTATGCTGTTCCAGTAACGGATCTTTATGTAGGATGTGCAGGTTGAAAACAAAGACTGATACCCCCCCCCCC